AAAAGAGTAGCCCAAGAGTTGGCGGTGGGTGGTGATGATTAGCTGCCTACCCTCTAGTCTTACACTGCTAAATTAGGGAGGTCTAGCGCAGATAGCTCTCGCGTAGCTTTGCGCGAAATTCAGAACAAACAAACAAACAATCTTTATATTAAGTTTTCTTTTAACGAGAAAAAAAATCAAAATATGCTAAAAAATCAGAATATACTAATGAAGATTTTTTAATATTTTCAAAAGTTTTTGAAATACTTTAACAAACAAACTTAGTATCAAATCCCCCCCCCCTCTGATGCCTCAACGATAAGCTTGAGAGCTTATAGCGCTAGAATTCGGGATTCTATCCCGGCAGTGGAATCACTACAGTTAGCCCATTGTTCAGCTTTGCGCTGAAGCAAGCAATCTTAGTACAAGTTTTAAGTTTGTCTTTTTTGTTATCGTTTTTAGCTCAAGGCTACATAATGGGCTATCTGCACTCTGTCCACCATGGGCAATCGGAGTACAGATTTTAGAGTTTCAAATCCTCAGAGTTGACGTTGATCCAAAGTTCACTATATTTTTCTAGAATGTTATCATTATGTTAACAGTTATCTAAAAAAAATTAAATACGTTAGTTTTAAAACCTAAGAACGTTAGGTACAGAAGAAAAAAAATCAAAGTTTCATACGTAACCTTGTACAATATGTCTTACATAAATCGCATCAAATAATTTGAAATGACGTAATACACGTGCTAATATAATCTCCAAACTGCTTAACTTAACCGTTCAGTCATAACTTAAAATAGCTCTTGTTCTATGGAGAGCTGTAAATTTCAACAGAGTCTGTATCTTACAATACCCCCTAGTGGCACAGCGGTATGCCTGCGGACTTACAACGCTATAAGCCGGGTTTCGATACTCGTGGTGGGAAGAGAACGGATAGTCCATTGTGTAGCTTTGTGCTTAACTTCAAAACAAACAAGCCTTATAATGAATAAAATAATACTACGTACGTAATATAAACGCATTTTGACGTTGACCATTTTTATTATTGAAAAATACATATTTACTCATATTTTTATTCAGCCACGTATTAATATTTTATATTTCATGATGTTAGATGTTAAAATATTTCACATTGTCTGATCACAAGCTAAAAAACATTTTGTAGAAGATTTGTTGTGTATTTCACATTCAGAGACAACACAAGAGTCGCTTCTGGCAATGATATTGTTACGTCTCCGTTCGTTAGTTGATTTTCCGTAACTTCGATCCAACGAAACTTTAGCGACACAAGTCCTTTCT